GCACTGCATGTGGTAATACTCTTGGTCTGCGAGAATGTTTGTTTTTAGATTCGTATTTGTTAAAGGAGCTGTGCAACAATTTTGGGGCTTCGCTTAAATTATTGTGGAAGTTGATGCCTGACACTTCTGAAGTGAACTACAGAAAAATATTTCACCTGGATACCTTAGTTTTAATTTTAAAAAATGAAAAAGATCCAAGTTTTTGCCGCCTCTCAACTCGAACTTCGTCTTCCGGGTCACGTACGCAGTGACGTTGATGGGGTGGGCGCGGGGTTTCGGAAAAGTTCTCTCTTTGGAGCCATCAGTGAGCAGCGAGAACTCATCCGCTCGCGACCGCGTGACCACGTGCTGGCAGGCGCCGCGCGAACGATATGGTGAAAGGAGGAAAGTCTCATCCGGGTCTGGCCATACCCGTCCGGCCCTGTCCCCCTCCCCCTCCGGCTTCTGGCGGCTGTTCGAGGTAGCAGAAGGAGCGGACAGTTTTGTGGACCTAGGATTGATAAAGCCCACAAAAACTCCGTATAATAAAAGTTTTGTCGATGATACAAAGTTTTCGACGAATTTATACATATGTTGGAACGACAAGATTTATAGAAAAGGTACCTTTTATCGTGTTGTGTTGTGAAAGTTAAACCTATTGCACATTCAAAGATTTTGTGAAATACGATAGAACCCTGCTGGTGCGTTTAAGGCGGTCACAATAAAGGATCATGACATGAGAAAAAAATGTAACAACTGTTAATGCCTTTGGGATAGCTATAGATGTTTCAGGAAGCTGTATTTTACGTTTATTTCACCTTAGCTTTCAAGCTTTCATGGCCGTAAAATAACTGCTTCATTTTATAGGTTAACAATTTTGTCAACACTTTTTAAAATTGTGGCTGAACTGTTTTCAAACAAGCTTAGATTTGCCCACAGCAGCTATGGGCACTGCGTGCGCAGGAACCAGATTCGTGTGAGCAGACATGTCTCTGCATGCGCTGTGCCGACAGCCGCGCCACCGCAGTGGTACGAGGTCAGAGCCACATGTCTGTCTATAGTTGCAGTTAAGAAATATTGAAACATTCTGAGCCCATCGAGCGAAACCATAGCTTCCTCATACAAATCACTTTACCCTGCATGCCCGATCAAAGCAGTGGAGCTTGATGCAATCACCTCTGTTTGAACATGGAGCCATGGAGGACACAAAAAGAAATGGGATGTCGTGAGAGCCCCATTACACCCTTATAGTGTCTTACAAGACCAAGCAAAAAACACAATGCAGAAAGGCAAGGAGGTAAAATGAAGGGGGTAAAGCCAAAAGAACAGAGTAGCCGTGTGTCCCTAGTAGTCATACCAGCCACCTTGAGTGGCAGTTTTAGGGCATAAGAACCTGGAATGCAGTGAAGGAAGACTCTAGTTCAGACACATAAATACTCATGGACGTTCCACAGTACCGGTGTTAGGAAACATAACAGCCGAGAAAACATATGAGCAAGGTTCTTCTGTGCATATTTTTGAATCTGCTACAAGAATCAGGATGTCTAGCGACCGGGGAAACCGGGAATTGTCAGGAAAATTTTAATTACCGGAAAAATCAGGGAATTATCAGGGACATTGTCAAAAAGTGAGCCCTGTCAGGGAAAATGAGCCGGAAACGCCATCGAGTTCCCTGAGCAAAGGCTCGACGACTTGGGGGCAGAAAAAGAGGCAATAAATTCTGCTTAGAGCGGAGCGCGGGCTCTGCTCACCCGATGTAAACTATGCTACTCGATGCGAAGGGAAGAGTTGACCAATTCAGTCCAAGCTTTGGATTGGATTGAATTGGATTGGGGGCGCGAAACTAGGCTAGATTCAGTTAGAGCTACTACATTTAGTAACAAATGGAAAAGTCGCAGACCGTAATTTAATCTAAACCTTAAGCCGAACGTGTGCATCTAGTGGTCATGCGGCCATGCTGCCATTCGGTTAGTGACGTGTATGGTTGAGCGTCGTGTTTTCATCGTGTTTCCGGATGTGGCCTCTTCGTCGACGATGTCGGCGGCAAGAAACTGCTTGCATAATTCGGACTCGACGAACCCCAGTATTTCGGAATATGTAAGTTGGATTAAGCCCGAGCGAAATCGTCCTCACAGTTCTCAATGCTTTGTGTTGTAATTCTAACCGCCTCTACAGTGGTCAGGAAATGTCACCAGAAATAGTCAGGGAAAACCTGGAAAAGTCGGGATTTCAAAATAATGATTTGCTAGACACCCTGAGAATATGTGTGCTGGTTATATGCCCTATTAAATTAGAATATATTTCTTCTTTCAGCTCACACCTTACAGACATGTAAAGAAGCAAAGGAAGGCCATTTTTTCATTCATCGTTTACGTTCGGGCGATGAGCTCAGTCTTTAAGAAAAAAAGAACACTTGTCATTTTAATGACATTGTGATCAATAAATTTTAATTCTTTAAATTGTTCTTCAATCTGTTTTCTTCCCATATTGTAAGGGAACACCTTGTCCCCCCTTATGTAAAGCTCCTGAGGGCGATATAAGGGTAAAATAAATGAATAAATGTATGTGTATCACGCCCTAAAATCTTACCAGCACGTAAAGGGAACTGCCGAAGCCGATGGTAAGGTCATGGATGCCATTCTTATCACAGTTTTTTGGGTGGCCAGCTGAAAGTCGACAAAACGTTGACAGTGTCAAAATGGCTACGAAGGTCCATCGGACGACGTCCAAACGACGATTACCATCCACGGCCGCCAGTTATGGATGGCAATCGTCGTTTAGACGTCATCCGATCGACCTTCGTAGCTTTTTCGCCACCGTCAACTTCTCGCCATTTTATAGGCCGTTGCCAGTGTATTGCTATCCTGGTGCCATACTAATATCAATTGGCAATTGGAAGCGATCAAAAGACTATGAAATATATAGTTTTTTTTTTATCTCCTCCAATAGCCGACTGATGGTAGAACGGCACCAGGATATCGATACAGTGGCGATGATCTATAAAATGGCGAAAAGTTGACGGTGGCAAAAAAGCTACGAAGGTCAATCGGATCACGTCTAAACGTGGATTACCATTTATAGCCAGTTGATCAACACCAATTGCCATTTGGCAAAAATACGTACTTCAAATGGTGGTAGCCATATTTAGAGGGGTACACAACGGCGCTTCCGGCTTGGGTTTGCGTTATCGCGTTCACTTTAACAGACGACATTCAAATGAAAGGGTATGTCGTTGCTGGCTTCATAGCATCTTCGATCAACTTGCACCGGAATCGCCCTGAAACCTGGACAGTGCTCAGCGCTCCTCGGTCGTGCAGCACGAAGTCGGTGCAACATCGAAGACAAACTGCGCTGTGGCGGTGCACCGCGGCGAGCTCCACCATGCGTCACCTCGCATTTTGTTCGTTTTTTCTTGCGTAGGTCCGCGCGCGGTGCTCATCTGCTGTCAATTTCTTGTTTTTTTTACTCGCGGATTTGGCGGTCCCACACGATTGAACATCGTGGACGTGATTGTCGATAGGGTCACGAAGCGGGTGACAATTCCACAGGTATATGCTGCCCATCCATTGTTGGTTCGAGAAAGAGAATCACCACATAATGGCCGTACCTCGGTGTCATCGAAACACCTCGCAACGCTTAACACGAAGTTCATACCTTTCGGGCGCTCCTTGCCACCGCAGCAATCGCCGGTAACCGCGGCGATGATAAGAAGCTCGTCGTCTTGCTCTAAAAAAAATTGATGAATTCATCAAATGCAGATGCGAGGCGTGTTCATTTTCGCAAAGTCGCCACCTCGATAGACTGCTCGTCTGCTATTCCCGCCATCTCCTCGATCCCCGCTCCTGGCCGCAGTGCCTGATAAGACTGCACCCCGGCGCACCGTCGATTTTCTCGGTGCGCGTTGGGGAAAACGAAAAGCTGCACCGGGAAGGTGCGCTTCGTTGATCGAGGACGTCCGGTGCGCACCGGTGCACTTGTTCGAAGACGACGGGGCGCACCTCAGTGCACCGGTGCGCACCGGTGCGGATGATCGAGGATGCTATCAGACACCTTGTTCGCGTGTTCCTCCATAAAGAAGACACTTCGTCGCCATGGTAACGCTCACGATAGTTGACGTACTTTATCTTTCGAAAGGAGACGGTGCGGTGGCGTTATCAGGCGTGCCTTTGGGCACTTTTGATGTGATATTTAAAAAAAAACGTAAACAAAAAGGGTGTGATATAAGAACTAAACGCAGATGGCTGATTTTCTCCAGGGCAAATTATTTTGATGAGCCTTACACGAAACGTATGCTTTTAGCTCGCAATTTGGACGAAAATTCTTGTACTTCATAATGGGGTTAAACTACCGAATTACCCATTTTGCCTCTGAACTCTTCGGACATTTTACTGTTCTGTACATTCCATCTAAATATCTTGTGCATATCTCACGGAAACATATTGTGATCTACAGTTGACTTCCCTCACTCTCTGAAACAGCAGAAAAACATTAATTGTATGTGTTGTCTTCATTTCTCTTCAATTGGAATCCTAAGTTGTCAAAAATGCAGTGCCTGCTTAGCCCTGTAACTGCATTAGTTCTCTGCTATGAAATACAAGAAACTCAGAGTAGAAGTCTAAATCTGCCTTTTTCTAGATTTACTTGAAAGCTGCGCTTAGATTATCGTCACTCCTTTGACCCAACGATAATTTGTGCGTCCGCATCACGTCACATTTCTTTACGTGCCAGCGTTTCGTGGACACCGCCATTTTGGCGCTAAGATTCGCACGGGCGCCGCTTGCGTCAGTTATCGTTTTGGAATTTGACTTTTTCTTTGCAATGCATATGGCATTGCAGGATCATCGCTGTAACGTTTTGCTCTGTTGTGAAGATCTTGCAAGCAGGACGGCGAAAAGCACTTTCTGCAACATGCGTCAGGCGCGTCGGCAAATTCTGATACCAAATATTCTTCGCGACGATCTCGTTACTCTGAAGCTTATTTATTTACTCTTATTCGAAGCTCTCTCCTCACGTTGGTGCAGGTGACCACGTTGTTTGGGAGTGTGCCCTGGATTGTCCTGCTTGCCAAGACGATGGAGAAAGAAGGCATTCGGCTGGATAGCCTGAAGACTGTCAGCAGTTGTAGTGTAAAGCTCACAGACCACACTCTGAGTCAGCTTGAGCCGTCGTTTGACCTGAATATCGTCAAAAATACTTACGGAACGGCGGAAATCGGCGGGGTGTGTAAACCTCCCATGAATTTATCCAAGTGGAACGGCATTGGATTCCCATCTCCGATGGTACAAATGAAGGTGAGCTTCGTCACATTTCTTGATAAGTATGGTTTTTATTAGATTATTATGGTATCTTTGGGAGTTTATTACGGCTTGAAAGCATTATTGTGGTGCTTTAGGTAAAGTCGACTTAGATTCGACATCTGTTTATCATGACGGTGTAAAAACTTTGTTTTTTCTTGTTTTCTTTTTTTTTCCGCGTCGTGGATTACCTTTGACTTAGAAGCCATCTTTCCTCTCTGCTCGCCCACAAGGAAGAGAGAGACAGAGAGGGAGTACCCAGCCCGTTTACTCCCGAACCCATATATTCGGGAAAAAAAAGTGGAATACATTATTTTTACTCCACCCAAGGTGTTTTGCAGGGAGCGTAACCCGAGTTCTGCTCCCAGTACTTTTTTTATGTCGCAGGAATTTAGTACTTAACTTCAATACCTTCGTCGAGTATCTTGTCCCAAACTGGACTTCATGGAGATGTCGGAGTAACATTGCTGTGCTTCAACGCTTTACCGTATTGTTTCTGCTTAAGACTGTAAAAGTTCCAGGCTTGTCGAACCGGTTTTTACGCTGGTTCATTTTGGGTTCATATTCAGTAGCTTTGCATTTTGTTCCGCTTTGCATCCGGTTTAGTGATGCATTTTAAATATCGGTTTGATTACCGGTTCAACCAAGTGCGAACCGGTTCAAACCACTTCTGATACCGCGGTCGCCCGTTTGTTTCCTGCACTAAACACAAGTACAAATGCAGAGCTCTTTGTGATTAAAAAAGCGTGTTTAACACAACGTCACCCGCATTAGAAACACAAAAACAAACTGGCCACCAAGCCGTTTTGCGGAAGCTGAGCAATTATATGGTTACCATTTTGTTTTGTAAACTCACGCTGCACCAAAACCGTTCTGCACCATTCTGCACCAGTACCGTTGTCATGTAGGCACTCGGAAATAGCACCAGTGTACATTAATGAAATTACGGTCAGTGCGCAGGCGAGTTGGTGGAAGTTTACCACGATGATTTTAACCCGCAACTGAGGCAGAAGGGGGACATTTTTTTGTAGCTGAAGTTAAGGAAATAGGGATAGATAGCATATGGAGACGACGTCTGTCCCTGTTGCCTTCTTTTCAGTTGTGAAAAAAATTTCTCCTTCTGTTTAGTGTTGGTAAAAATCATCATGGTAATCCAACGTACAGTATACTCACAAGTAAAATGAATCAGCCAGCACGCACAGTGACACCATTACACTAGCACGCGCCATACTCATAACTACCTACCCCGCGCGCCCGAACGCCTCGAACGAGAGTTAAATGTATAAAAACAACGTAGGGCAGTTGAAACATTATTAACACGAAACGGGCGCGATTAAAAAAAAAAAGTGCTTATGCGCGTACAAAAAAAAAAAAAAGAAAAATCATGCAGCTACCGAAGCTCTAGGGAGGGGTGTCGCGGCAACCGGCGGAGCAGTGTCGCGATCCTCGTGGGTTCGCCTCTTGATGACTCCAGGTTCTGCCACTGCAAAACAAACAAGCGTTTCCAGGCGTCGATTGTTTCAGAGCTTTAGCTCTTAGGCGCCCGTTTCCGGTTTCAGCGGTGTCAGCGTCGGCGTCGCCGTCGCCTTAGTTGTCGCCGTAACTGCGCGGTGCATTATGGGAAATGTCCCATAACGCAACTCGCGGGGCTCGTGACGTCACGAGGGTCACGTGACGTCACTAGGGCCGCGTGACGTCATAAGGGTCACGTGACGTCACGACGGTGACGTGACGTCACAATGGTCACGTAACGTTACGAGGGTCACGAGTGACGTCACGAGGGCCACGAGACGTCACGTGACATTAACGTGACACGTTACATTAAGGGAAACGTCCCATGATGCAACGCCCGGGGAGGAGGGAGGAGGAGGAGGGGAAGAAGGAAAGAGGGAAAGAGGAGGGATGAGAAGGAGGGGAGGAAGAAATGAGGGAGAAGGACAGGAGGTGGAGAGGGTACGAATGAGGAGGGGCATACCCTCCCCTCAGTACCCTCCCCTCCTCCTCCAGAGCTGCGCTCTAATTCGGCGTTACAGGAAGTTGTAAACGTCTTTCATTTTTTATATTGATATATTTGATACTGATATTGACACAGACACAAAAAGAGGAATAGCTATTTAGCCTCTTGGCATAGTCATATACAGTCTGTTTAATCTAATGATCTATTGCAACGAATGCTACGAGCTACCCAAGTCAATGCTTAGCGCAAAGTTGGTCACGTGACTTCCCACTCCCCGCGTCGCTCCGCCCATCTAGAAGGAGGCGTGACATTTGGTGACTCTTAGTGTGTTTGATTGCGGTTCATCATAAATGAAATGGAGTATCGAAGTATACGGACATAAACGTAAAATATATTTTCTTGTTTAGTCATTATTAATTATCTCCACGTCACTGCCGTTCGTGCAGTCGACACTGCGCGGATGACATCCCTGTCGCAAATATTTACGTGACTTCGCGACGCCACACACCAAGGCGGGCGGCTCACACTTTATTACGCCGAAAAGTTTTTCAATGAGCCAATAACCACCACAGAATAGTCGGATTTCGTTGCGGTTCCGGTTCAATATTAAACGTTTGATTTAGGTTCCGGTTTTGTTCCGGTTCAGTCAAAAATAACGCTTTTCCTTCGGTTTTCGGTTCGTGTTTGGTTCGCCACTCTGCTGCCGACCCTTCTCTCGCGTCAAATGATCGGTTTGCACGCCCTGACCTCTGAGTCTGAGAGCCGAGAAAAGCTGCTTAGCTTTGTACGTACCGGCCGGGGCCTGGAGCAGGGTTTCCCCCACCTAAATTGCATCTAACGGCGTAAATATTGCCGAGGAAGGACGTTTTGTGGAAAGCTTTACAAAAATAATTCTCCCACCTAAGCCCTTTAACAAAACTTTTTTTTTCTCGTTTCGGTGTCACTTTAAGTATAAAACATATCAAGATTGAAAGCCCGGATGATAATATGACGTGCACACTCGATGGATAACCGAGGTTTTGGGCTACTGTTTTGTTCACGGAAAAATAAAGAAAAGTACGCAGCTTACGTTTAGATATATACTGGATACCCCCTAAAAAAAGGGGGTGTCATATTACACCTCGGTGTCTGTTTTACACCCTTTTGTCCCATATAATGCACCCCAAAGCTTTGGTTCGACGTACAGCGTACTGACTTCAAACAGACGGCCCAAACTTCTACGAGGGGCTTGAGAACGGTGAGATATACTTAATTCAACAGCTAAAGTACGTGTCAAAGACTACATGAAAAAAAAGCACGTTTTGCAGTAGGGCCAAGAAAAGCACGATTACTTGTTCTGTAGTCAGGAAGACGTGCATTAGCTATTTTAACAAGCTGCACCACTTGGCTATCAAGCCCCTCGTGAAGGGTGGTACCGTCGGTTCAACGTCAGGGCGCTGTACGACGAACTGAAGTTTTGGGGCGTCTTATATGGGACAAAGGGTGCAAGAATATACCAGTTTTTTTCTGAGAGTCTAGACGTTTAGCACCAGAGGTCTGAATGGTCTAAATGAGAGCCTGAAGGGTACGGTTAAATGTTCCTATAAATTAAATGTTGCAAATACGAATAGAAACTGAGGGACACGAGGAGACAAACTCTCGCGGCGACGTCAGTGCGCCAAGCTCTGCTTGCTATAGTTAGTGGGCAGACGACAAGCCAGTTGCGTTCGTCTCTACCCGCAGTCTAAACGCGTTCGAACCTGTTTAGACAGTCAGTATGGCGTATACCCGATAAACCATTCCAAGCAGAGCTCAGTGCCCTGACCTCCCCGCGCACTCTCGCCTCCCCTCTCCCTCAGTTGCTATTCTTATAAATATCTGAGTAGAATGAAGCCCAGAAACGCAGATGCCTGCAAGCAGTTATATAAAACTTGTCATTTAAAAAACAAAACGTGAGCAATAATCGCTTATCGTTAACCGATGATTTTGCATCCACAATTTAGTAGGAGTTCGACCCTTTTGTATAACTGATGGTCAATTACTGTGATAGAAGGATGGCAGTTAACAAAATACTGACCATTATTTGCTATCTCTGGTCAGGTTGTGGACATCGAGAGTGGGAAAGTGCTTGGCCCGAACGAAAGCGGAGAACTGCTCGTGAAGTCGCCAACTTCCATGAGGGGCTATTACGGAAATCCGGAAGCTACGTCTCAGGCGATTACACTCGACGGTTGGGTACGAACAGGTAGCGAATGCCGGCTATGTCAAAATTCATGTCGAAGTATTTGCCGCTTGCCGATGACGTCTTGAGCAGACCTCGTTTTCTAGGGGGTATTGGCCTAGGCCACTGGCAGACACAGCGGCAAACTTGGATGGCACAGGGGTTCACGTGACAGCACGTGTGGGTGGATGCGCCACCGTGCGCACGAATAATGTTAGCCTAGAAGTCACATTCTCGTTCTTTCATACTCGGACACTTGAACCCCGAGAACTGTGTAGTAATTTTGTCCGGACGTAGATCTTACTTATTTCAGACTCTCGGCTCATTTTTTTTCCTACGTGCTTTCGCTTTATATGAACACATGAACTGCCATTTTAGATAGGATCAGTAAATAGTAAGTATTACAGGTGATATCTGCTACTACGACGAAGAGGGCCGGTTCTTCTACGTGGAGCGAATGAGCCAGTTCTTCCGATGCATGGGAATCAACGTCGCACCTTCCTCCATTGAGAGTGTATTGCTCAGCCACGAGGAAGTTGAAGCAGCGGCGGTCATTGGCGTTCCTCATCCACGGTACGAGGAGGCGGCCATGGCGTTTGTTGTGTTGAAAACATCTTGCGAAAAAATCACCGAGGCAGCGCTCCAAGAATTTGTTGCAGGTGATTATCTGTCTGCATATTAGATACATTGCATGCATCCTATAAGCTTAAGCATTGAACATTAGACGCAGCTCGTTTTAAAGTAGAATTGAGGGAAATATGGTTCGGGTATTACTCAAGAAAATACTTTTTATTAGCAATTAAAAGCGTCTTCTTTTCGTCGACGTTCGACACCCAGTAGTAATCTAATCTTTGTCATCCTTTCCCAGACAAACTTGGAAACTACATGCACCTGCATGCGGGCGTAAAGTTTGTTGACAAGATTCCAAAAGACGTCAACGGCAAAGTCATCAGAAAGAAACTGCGGATTCTTCATGGAGGCGACTAGGCTCACTCGTCAGGTTCTACAAAAAGAAAAAAAAAATATTTTTTTACTTTTGTGGAGGTGGTGGTTTTGGTTGGCAATTCAATGTAGTCAAGTCAAAGTGTACAGTGTGCTGAACTGTCAAATATAACGCGGAAGCGGTGGCTGAAACTTATACCCATGGGCGCACCAACCGGGGGGGAAAGGGGGGCGCTTACCGCCCCCCCCCCCCGTCCTCAGACTTTTTTTTTTTTTTTGGGGGGGGGGGGGGGGCAAGGCGTGTGTTTTGCCACCCCCCCCCCCCCCCCCGCCTCTGAAACAGCCGCCACTGGGCAGGGCAAAGACTGGTCGGCGGCGCCCAAGGGATACCAAGCGCACGACCCACCGGGGGGGGGGGGGGGGGGGGGAGGGGGAGGGGTCTGGTTTGCCCCCTCACTCAAAAACAAGTTGGTACGCCACTTCTCATATCAGAGATGTCTATATTTCATTTCAGCTTCCGTCCGAGCGGAGCCAAAGGCTCAGGGACGGTTCGCAACTTCGAGAAGAGCATTCTTACGCACCACAAAACAGCCCGCAAAAGTATATTTTTTTTAAATAACTGTTTTGTGCGTAAACAGTGCACAACATTCCAGATGTGTATTGCTGAGAAGGATTTGCAACGAAAGGAATTAAATATCTGAAGTGTATGTTTTATTAATATATGTAAATGCATGTGGTTTGGTGAAAACGCGTACATCCGCTGGCAACACGGCTGCAGCGCTCGGTTTTTCTGTATGATTTTGTTTAGCTGCTTTCCTCACCGAGTCCTTTCAAAACGCCCTTTCGCAAAGGCACAATTGGGCGTCAGGCGCGAGAGGTCGTGATGAATGCCTACTTTCAAACTCGGCAGGAGACTCCGGTCGCGTCGTACCGCGAATGCGTTAAACAAGAAAAGCGTCTGGGCCACTTCAATTCCCTGATACACGGCGAAATCGGGGCACCCCTTTACCGGCCGATCACATTGAATGCCGAGAAGCAGGTGTAAAGGACTGCGCCTCGAGCTTTGGTATATCCAGACAATACAAGGAAACATCAACGGCCGGGTCGTCGGGCACCTTGCAATGTGTACATACATCTCGAAACTATGCCGAAATGACGAACAGATGGAAAGCTCGGGCGCAGACGCCAGCGGCCAACCTACGTACTGACATCCCCTGTGACCAAAATTTAGAACGTGAAAGGCCACTTTTTAAACCTGTAGCAGACGATACCGTTGAAACACCCGTAGCAGACGAAATACTCGCGGCGAGCGCGGGCGGCGCGGACCAGGGGCGTAGCGGAGTGATGCAAAAGTGCAGGCGAGATTACCTGACCTATTGCCGGCGTGTGGTTGGCTCCGGCCACACGTAGCTTTGGCTGCGCTCGGACAGATGCTGAAACGAAGTATAGCAATTAAATCAATGATGCGGCAGATAATAAGGTGGTTCTTTTTGCAAATGTCGCCACTCCCGATACAATCATCGTATGACGTCCTCGTTTTTTTATCACCCACGCTTTCAATTTGTATTTGTTTGTTTTGTTGTTTTTGCCATTCTGTTCAGTCACACCTACGCCTTTACCACGCGGGGCTGTCATATCGTGGTGATCTCGCAGTTTCCCTGATAAAGGCTACCTTCTTCAAACAACAGGAAACAAACTCGAAGGGACATTTGTTTGTTTTCTTTTTATCGCCGAGTCACGCATCGAGATTGTTTCGGAGCTGGGAGTGTAACTCTAGAAAGCAAAAGCGGCACAAGCTGCCAGAGTGAGCCGGTAGATGACGGATGCAGTCTCTCCGGCCACCGCTCCCGCGTTATGTTTAACAGTTGAGTACATCATACAAAAAAGTATCAGGTCCAATAAACACTTTTTTATAAAACCGAGTCTTGGTGTAACATTGAGAAAAAAAAAAGTCCCGAACGAATAAAATTTTGTTGTTCTACTTCGTTATGTTGATTAAACCGTCCTGCGCAGATCTACACTTTATGAGAAATGCGGCCGACGCTGAATTTTAATATCAGTCTTCCTGGCAACACGGGCAGCAGCAAACTTTTAAAACGTCGCCTCTTGGTTCTTATCAACCGATTTTCTTAGAGGCACGTAAGGTTTCGCTGTAACAGCCGGTCGTAACGAAAAACTGACACCGATAAGCGTTAAGGCCCGTTCACACTCTTGCAAACGAGTACGATCGAGAGAGACCAGACCGGTTTTTAAGCCTCTTGCGATCTCTTAGGACCAGCCCCGCTGCAGCGCATCCGGTCCTAAGAAAACCGGTCTGGTCTCTCTCGGTCGTACTCGGTTGCAAGAGTGAACGAGCCTTTAAGGACCGTACACACTTGCAACCGAGTACGACCGAGAGAGACTAGACCGGTTTTTAAGCCTTTTTCGACGTCTCGGGACCGGATACGCTGCTGCGAAGCTTGTCCTAAGACGCCGCAGGAGGCTAAAAAACCGGTCTTGTATCTCTCCGTCCTGCTCGGTTGCAAGTGTGTGAACGGCGCTTTTCGCCCATAGGACACCATATAAAAGGACATCAGTACCCGGCAGAATTTGAGCTCACCACCTCGAGATTTTGAGCCAAGTGCATTAAGGCCCGTTCACACTCTTGCGACCGACTTAGCCCGAGAGAGACCAGACCGGTTTTTGAGCCTTTTGCGACTTCTTAGGACCGGATGCGATGGAGCGGAGCTGGTCCTAAGAAGTTGCAAGAGGCATAAAAACCGGTTTGGTCTCTCTCGGTCTAACTGAGTCGCAAGAGTGTGAACGGGCCTTTACCCTTTGTTCTCTTTTAGAGCGCAGCTCTTAGGCGCCCGTTTCCGGCTTGAGTGGCGTCGCCGTCGGCGTAACCAAGGTCACCCCAAGGTCACGTGACCCCCGAGCTCACTTGAGCCCTCCCAAGGTCACGTGATCCCCCAGGTCACGTGACCCCTCCCAAGGTACCTCAAGGTCTTGTGACCCCACGTGACCCCCAAGGTCACGTGACCTCCCTAGGTCACGTGGCCCCCTCCCCCGAGGTCACGTGACCCCCGTCCCCCCCCCCTAAGTCACTTGACACCCCCCGAGGTCACGTGACCTCCTCCCCCCGAGGTCAGGTGACCCCCCCGGAGCATATTATAGAATGAGGGGAGGAGGAGAAGGAGGAGGAGGGGTCTACCCTCCCCTCAGTACCCTTCCCTCCTCCTCCTCAAGAGCTGCACCCCAATTCGGCGTTACAGGGAGTTGTAAACGGCTTTCACTTTTATTGACAGGCATAAGTATCAACAAAACCAGGTACAGAAGGATTCAAGCAGACGCGATGGTTAAACAAAAACTACATACACAAAGTTAAAAAGGTTTCCACGGCAGCGCTTCTTCTAGAACAGGCACCCAATCTGGGCACCACTCCTGCGCTTTCCACACCTCAATGAGGTTGCGCAAAGAAAAACAAAAGTAATCAGAAACCGGCCTAGCATCAACTTCTGCATGACGAACCGCCAAGCGCGATTTCCAGATGCTGTGTAGGCCCAAAAGCATAACCAAGTCGTAAGGGACACAATTATCATTTTCTATGCTTGGGTACCGGATGCCCCATGGATCCAACGGGAACTCCTTTTTCAGTGTGCGTTGCAGCACGCCCCAAAAGAAAATCTCATCACAAATATCTAGAGAGACGTGTTCTACGGTCTCCGGTTTTTGACACCGTAAACAATTTACTCCCACGGTACAAACAGACCCTTATCATCGATCGATGTCTCCACCGGCAGGACACGAGCATGTAATTTAAAAAAAAAGGTTTTAACACTCGGCGGAACTGCCATTTCCTTAACTCGCTGAAGGACATCCTGTCCCATCCCAAAGACATACAAAGACCTATACAACGGAACCGGGAGGACAACGTCAACAACGTCTCTGTACAATTGCTTCCGAGACACACTGCTCAGATATTGCAAGGAAAAACGTGAAGGTGAACATTTGAGAGAAGTCTCTCTGGTTGGAGAACAACAATAATATTAAATAAAATATACACCAACCAAATCCTCGTATAAAGGAAAAACCCTACGTTTTGAGACCAGCTCGGTCTCTTCTTAAGGGGTTGACTGCGGCTATGGCCGTTGAGGAGCAGCAATCTGTGTTCTTCTTCTACGGCAGTGTCTATCGTTTTGCATCGGTGAGGTGTCGAAGTCCGTTCAGGTAGCCGGTCGGCAGAGTGCCGAGGGATCTATTTATGTTTTCTGGCGTTGTTTGTATGTGCCAAGATTCAATAAAAAGTCTATGTCTGGGATTGGTCTCAACAGCCAGGATGCTGGTGTTGGCAAAGTCCATTTTGTGGTCCTTGACGTCGCAGTGCTCGGCTACGGCGCTTCGTTCGTGGTCAAACTTTCGAACATCGTTCATATGCTGGCGGATTCTCTCCCGAAAGTTCTTCGTTTCCCCGATGTATGTGACCGGACAGTCCGCGCATGGAATTTCATAAACGACGCCTTGTGCTTTTTCCTTAGGCGGGCGATCCTTTGGACGGGGCATGAGTCTTCCAAGCGTAGACATCGGCTTGTGGGCATCCTGGATCCCTTCTTTGGCCAGTACACGTACCAGCGCCTCGCTTGTACCTGTTATGTAAGGGACGCTGATGCGTGAGGTACGACGGGTCTGTGTACTTGCTGGGAGTAGCAGGTGTCGGCGATCTCGGGCTTGATCACGCGAAATGCGGCGGATGAAGCTGCTTGTATAACCGTTATGTTGTAGGTCGGCGAAGATGGTGTGTTCCTCTTTTTTACGGTCAGCTTCGGATGAGCAGATGTTTTTTGACCTAGATAAAAGTGTTCTGACCACTGATGCCTTGTGACAGGCTGGGTGATTGGAATGGAAATGGAGATAGCGTCCAGTAGGTGTCGGTTTTCTGTAGACAGAAAGCTGGAGCTCTTCATTTTGTCTTCAGACGAGCACATCGAGGAAAGGTAAGGTATAGTCCTTTTCATGCTTCACGGTGAATTGTATAGACGTCTCGATGGAGTTTAGGTGTGTAAGGA